TTTTTTGTAGACATTGTTGCCACATTTAAAATTTATTTTTACGGAACATACAAATATGTATAGTTTTAAATCAAAATAAGTCCAATACATATAGATATCAATCTACCTTAGTATGTGGGTGGATACAATTCTACTACAGCGATAAAAAATGATGCAGCGGTCAGGAAATCTCCTTTTTACGTCAAATTCAGCAACATATCCAAAAAAGTGCTCTTATCTGACACTATACTTAGGGAATTACCTGCTAACCTCTCGTCACAACTTCTCAATATTATTAATGTGGGTGCCAGTATCACCAACGACAAAGTGCTTTAAATTATTCACAGTTTGATGTTAAAATCCTTCATGGGCCTAACAATTATATTATTTCAAATAATCACTAGGATTGGTTGTCCCAGGAAGAATCCATTTGTGAATTATTGCGTGCCAAGTATCGACATTAATCTTTTCGACAGGAATAACGGATAATTTTCAGTGTTTTCCTCGTATCCGCCAAATACTTATTGATCGGTATACAGACGCCCTCATTTGTATTTCCTTCTGCCGAATTTAGCCTCATCGATCACCACAATGGTACCCGGGCCTCCAAGTTTTGTAGAATTGTTTTAGCAAATCTGATAAACATGTATTTTTAATAATTATACCAGTTAACCATAGTCACAGGAGATCCCCAATTCACTCTGTACAAAAAATTGCTCTGGAAGCTCATATGCAATAAAGCACACAATAACTTAATAATTTTATCCAATGGAAATCTAGCATGTTCAAATACGTACCTTTTCTTGCCGATATACAAAATACACTCTTTTTAGGAGCTGATTTCTTTATCACCACTTTTTTCTTGCATCTAAAGGTCATTTTGCCTTCCATGTTTAATGATTTTCCATATAAGCATACTGAACAAATTCCCCTTCGTTGGCTCAGTGAAGATGTTCGTTCAGTTGTAATGGAAACACAAAATAATAGTAGCAGAGTTTATTGACCAGACGTACACTATGGGTGTTGACCCGGGATTACTTTGAGTAGAAACTGTTGTAGATGAGCGTTGAAGACTATCACGTTTGTTGAGTGAATATTGATTGAATGTTTCTCTAGGCAAGAGATTTTAGTTTTATATAAGTTTTAATTGGGTCAATATATTCGCAGACCTAATGACATGTGTATCTAAGTTGTGTGTAAATTGTTTAACTTTCGTCAGCACTTTCGACTGATGTCCAAATTTTATTGTTGATAATTGACCAAATCTAATGTAACCTAATTAACTACGTGTGTGTATTTAATAACAAATAAATTCATTCGGTCTACTGGGTGATAAAATTATATTGTCCAATTTCGGATATGAATTCTGAAGATTTGATATTGGACATACTGCGGAATCGGGCAATCTGGCCCAAGTGTCAATACTCAAAGTTTACATATAAGTATTACATAACATAGTAAAATTCAAACATGATAAATTATAAATAGTTTAAGAATAATCAATAATCTTCAAACCGTACCTTAGTTATCAATGTCCGACTCTATCTCTAGATTAAAATTAGGGCAATTGGATGAAAATGTGGAGAGTGGGATGTCGGCTTGGGAAGTCGACGGTACATTGTTGTGCCGATTATTATTCGGCTCGAAGGACCATGAACAAATTCCACTTCATTGGCTCAGTGAAGATGTTCGTTCAGTTGTAATGGAAACACAAAATAATAGTAGCAGAGTTTATTGCCGAGACGTACACTATGGGTGTTGACCCGGGATTACTTTGAGTAGAGACTGTCGCAGTTGAGCGTTGAAGACTATCACGTTTGTTGAGTGAATATTGATTGAATGCTTCTCTAGGTAAGAGATTTTAGTTTTATATAAGTTTTAATTGGGTCAATATATTCGCGGACCTAATGACCTGTGTATCTAAGTTGTGTGTAAATTGTTTAACTATCAATTTCTTAATTTTCCAATAAAAAAAATTTCATATAAGATATTAACGACTGTTGGTAACAATGTAAAAGAACTAGAGTTTTAAAGAAAAAATAGAGTATCAATAAAGCAAGCATATTTCTCCAAAAAGTTTAAAGATTAACAAATTTTATTATTGACGCAGCACTATTTTTTCAAAGAATGACTGCAGCCATGCATGATAAGCGAAGTCACCTTGAAGACCACTAAAAATATGAGCTTATGAACTATAATTGTTCTACTGTTAACCTTATATTATCAATGTAGTCTATGAAAGAGGACCCTGGTTTAAAGTCTGCTTGAATTGCTCGAAATTCGACTGTGTTAATCTATTCAGTATGATGGTCATAAGAATTTCATTTATAATGGTAAGCAAGGTTAGTCCTCTCCAGTTTTTACACAGTGTGAGGTCTCCCTTTTTAGAAAATTTGATAATGTTACCTTTATTCCAACCTGCTGGAATTTGGTTTGTTTCTCACACCTCTCTAATTATGAGGAGCAATAATTCAGCAGTTAGATCCGGCTCTCGAAGAACAGAAAAATCATGTTAAACAAGTTAAAGGAATAAATTGGAATGTTTCAGATTATATTGTATAGCATACAAGTTAGTTTATTTTTATTTGACTTATCATTTATCTATATACAACCTTGATGAAATGTTATTTAACTATACAATATTAAATTACATGTATTGTATAACAAAGTAATCTAAATCCGAAATATTTTATAAAGAAAGCATCCGTTTGATTAACTTGACGCTCGAGACTTACCCTGTATCTTGTAGCAAAGAATCCATATCCAATATTTTAAGAAAATGGGCATTTATCCTATTTCGGTGGCCCTATATTTATCATGCGAATCATATTACGTTCTAGAGGTCTTTTTATATAAATATTGCCTTTGTTTTTGTTAAATTGAGGATCAGATAAGTTTCCAAGGAAACACATTCAATCATCTGGATTCGACTTAATAACCGGCTTTAGATTTTGGCGTAGTCCAGCTCAAAACAGGTGCGTATAAGAACATTTTGTTACGGATTTTAATGGAATAAAGTTTTGTTAGGATATTCTATTTTATTCTAAGCGTGTACCAGATCAGTGGAGGACCAACATTACAATACCAATAAACTAAAAAAGAAATAGCCAAAAACCCTTTAATTATCACAGCACCCAAATTTGTATGTTTTGCAGGGCATACCGAAAACTAGAGAAGATAGAAAAAAGTAGTTAAGATGTCATGACTACTTTTTTCGTTAGGATAACGATTGCCCAATCAAATCATCAATAGCTCCTTACATTAGCGCGATAAAGGACGATTATTAAAAAATGTTAAAATTGTCATATAATATATGATATAAAATATATTATGGAATGGTTCAGTGGCATACAAGAAACATTGTTAGGGGGTATCAATAACGAATATAATACCAACGCAACGTATGTTTTTATATATTCAATGTGGTATCACTGTGGAACGACTCTACAAGAGAAATGTACAAAAAGGGGCTAGCACAAAACATACAGGTGACGCAAATAGACACATCGAAGATATAAACGCGAGCTAATAGAAAATTAAAAACGACATTGAAGAAGCAGCAACAGAAGCTCTAGGAAAACGCAAAGTCATACTATACAAAAGAAACAAAAAAATACACCATGGCTTAGAAAATAAATAAAAGAGAAATGTAAAGAGAAACGAGAGGCCTACACGAAGTACAAAACATCAAATATCCCAGAATCCCAAGACAACCATAGAAGAATACAAAATGAAACAAAGCAGTTGGCAACAAGAACAAAAAATGAACACTGGGAACAGTTTACAAAAAGAATGGAAAGTACGGAAAGGATGGATTTCTACGGTACACAAAAACAAATACGGAGATTCATAAGAAACCAACGGAAAGAAATGGCATAATAGAAGGAATACAATAACATACCAGCAAATGAATGGGAAAAATACCTGACGGAACTGTTTAAAGTAAAGAAAAATAATAATCAACACACCTGAATATAACTGATTACGTACCTAAGTTAAGACACAAAATAGAAATCAGTTTTTAGGAAGTAGAAATAGCCATAAATTCACTCAAAAATAGAAAGTCACCAGAACCAGACGGAATAACCAACAAGCTTCTAAAACACGAAGTAGAAGGTATAACCCTAGAGATGACAAAACTTATACAAAAACTAATATTGGACTGCAAGATACCAGACGCATAAACAGCATAATGCTTATTTGAATGTTCCAGATAATTCTTAACTTTTCTATGGAGAATTTTATGGACATTTAGGCTTTTCAGATTAGAATGTAAACTTATATGTAAATTAAACATCTTAACTTAATAAATAACACTATTTTAAATCCTTAATTATTATGTCAAATGTCAAATTCACTCTTATTATTTCAACTGTCATAATACAGTGTATATTTGGTTGCCTATGCACATGGTGCACCCATATAAATCTATAATATGATAATTATTAAAAAAAAACTTTTTAAACTTATACTAATTTATTATTATGTTAATTTCTTAAGAATACCCTCATATAAATACTTTTTATAATATTCTCTAGTATATAACCCATATTTTTACAGTTTTATTTTAACTATGTAATAGTTGTAGTACACTAACAAAAATTAATGAAAATATAGATACTTATCTAAGTACATTATCCAATAGAATGATTTTATTGGAGTAATTTAGAAGTTGGCAGTTTAGCAAGGAGGAAAATTAAAAAGCTCTAAAAAGTCTATTAAATCACTGTTAAATATGAACGGCGTAAGCTTTAGTTTATAATCTAATTATATTTCTTTGGTAGCCAATTAAATCAAAGAGTGGTGATTAAAGTACGTAGCTATTATCCTCTCGTTACATTCATACTTTCTAATTGACGGCTAAACGGCTTCTTCATCACCAGTATATCTCTGGTGATGTGTTTTACTACGAGGTTTATCGAAATTAAATTTTTACTAAATGATAAAAATGGGTAAAAATGTATTTTAAAGAATAAGTTATAATAAGTAATTATTTAATAATTATAATGTATGATTTTTAGGGGAAGAGGTTATTGAGAAAAATAATTAGAGTAGATATCCAGACTAATAATAATATTTTATACAATAAACAAGGGTTTCGCAGGTATAGGTTTCGAGATGATCTGGTATTTCTAACAAGAACAAGAAAAGAGATCAACAAATTTGAAGAACAATCTAGGAAATATGGTCTTATCGAAAATCAAGTAAAAAACCAAGTATATGGATGGGAAATAACAGGAGGAAATAAATAAGAAATAATTAGGATAATACATATTTTCAAATGTGTTATAAATCAAGTTTAAATTGTCGTTACAGTATAAAACAAATATATAAGTTTCCGCAGAGCTCTCAATTTGGATACTGCTTATTTTTGTGTGTAATACCTTAATATTTATATTCAAAAAGTTACTGTTAAAATAAAATCAACTACAGATTCCAATTTTCTGTAAACATCAGATCAGAACAAACAAGATTAATGCCAAATACACAATTTTTATTATAATCCGCATTATGAGGGGCTGCCAGTCCGATCACTATAATAGTGGTCGAGACAATGGTTCGTCAAACAAAGGGAATCCTCATATCCCGTCGATACACTGAAAGCTCAATAATGTCAATAAGATATTCACTTTATTTGTTTACATTTACTACACTTTTATTATATCTGAAGAGATAGTGTATATATGTGTTCATATATGCATGAGATTTCGAGAATAAAACGGTATGATGATAGATTGTTAATGCACGTCCGCTGGTTGCATTAATTTTAAAATTTCTGGGAAACTCTTATACTATCATTATTAGCAAAGGATATATGAACACGTCGCTGACGATTTTTTTTATTTATTTATTAAACATTTATCTTAAGAAGTTGCTTTCAAGTTGATTGCTTCAGCTCGAAATCTTTTTTTAAATACATTATATTTCTCAATATCGATTAATACGATGCAAACTTTATGACTGGTCTGGATTTTTTAATTGATCTAAAATGTGAACTCGTATTATTTTGTTTCTATGCTAAAGTATTTTAGCACTTAGCATGCGGTAATATTTGAAATATAGTTTTTTTGGCCTTAAGATTAGTCCATGCAGCCAAAAACGAAGTAAGTAGTCTAGCTTTTTTGTTTTTAATTTTTCCTATAAGGTTATCTCACCCTACTTTAAACCTCTTTTTAAATTATTATGGGAGACTTTAGAGGAAGAAGGGTGACCTCATGCAATCTTGTTATATATTTTTCATACTTTTATAATATTAAACAAATTTTAAACTTTATTAGAAATTTACAACATTTTGTAATTCATTTGACAGTTGTTCTTAATTGAAACATGAAAATACATTCTTAAAAAATTGTTTATGCAAAGTTCTTACAATTTTCCATCAAGACATACAATTCTTAATACACTTAAGTATCAGATAACGTAACATTAATACCATGTTTCTTCTTTATATTGTTGTTGAACAATTTGAGCCCTTGTTTCTTAAGGATAGCTGTCAGATTGAACATACATTGACCTTGAGCAATGACTTGAGTGAATTTACAAACTAATGTCATTCTGTATGATGTGATGAACACATAAAATTTAATTTAAAAACTTAATTTTTAGAAAGTCTTTGATGACTATTAGTAATTCCAAACTACTAAATAATTATGTAAGAATTTAAAAAAACAATCTCTATTTCCTATATATGACATTTGTCACCTGTCACTTTTGAAAAATCGTTTAAAAGGACCGATATTTGATTTCATTAGTTCTATTCAGTCTACGTCCTCACATCAATCAATGGTCGGGTTCTTAAACCCGTACCATGACAAAAATTTTTTTAATTTTTTAACGTGTTTGTGAAGTCCAGTGTCGGCTTTTTATATGTTTTTTTTTTTATGTTTTAAGAATTTCAACACCTACAAAATCATAATTTTGAAATTTAAGGAAATGAGATCTCTCCTTTGTAGTGGTATTTAAAAAATTGACGTAAGTTAAAAATTACAATCTTTACCAATTAGTACTTATAAGAACATTTTATTGTAGCATAGCTCTGATGATGGCTTTGTAAAGCCGAAAGCGCTCAGCTAGGAATTGCCTAAAATATACACACTTCAAAAATACTTTTTTGCATTTTCTTTCGACTAATCATATTAAGCACCTTGGGATTGGGACAAGAGTCACATTTTTCTCACTCATATGTCATTTTGAGCAGTTGTTGAAAACAAATACTGGGTAGACCACGGTAAGGCAAGTATTTAAATAAAAGGAGAGACTTTTAAATGTTACAATCGTAATCTAGTTATTCTACAACTTAATTTTAGACTGAAGTATGAAACTAAAATAAAATCTAAAGTGCGTTTATAATTTGATGCCAAAAGATTCATACCATTGTAAGGACAGTAAACGTATAGACGATTTTTCCTAAGAATAATTTTAAAACAATTCAAGCCAATTCATCATCATCAGTAGCGCGACAACCCTTTCTGGGTCCTGGCTTGTTCTAGGATTTTCCGCCATTCTGTTCTGTTCCTTGCTTTGTTTTTCCAGTTGGTAATCTTAAGTGTTTTCAGATCTTGTTCCAATTGTTCCATGTATCTAAGTTTGGGTTTTCCCTTTAACCTTCCCCCTACTGGTGTTTGCCTCATTATATGTTTTGGTGTTTCAGTCTCCAACATCCGTTCAACATGGCCCATCTAGCGCAGACGTGCGATCTTTATGGATGTTATGATCTCGGGTTCATTGTATGCTGTGTATAGTTCAAAGTTATGTCTTCTGCGCCATATGTCATTTTCCTGCACCCCCTTATATATGTGTCTAAGGATTTTTAGCTCAAACGTACCTAATAGGTTCTCATCGCTTTTCGACAGTGTCCATGTCTCTGATCCATATAGTGATGTTAGATCTTAGATGTTTACTTAGTCCATTATACGTTTTATTAGCGATATGTATTTCCCCCAATTCACCTAGTCCGAAAATGCCTTCTGAAGATGGCGCCTTGTAATTAGTTTTTTAATACTTCCAGAATAATTCTAGTTAGAAAAACGAAGATTGGTGCGATTATTTATTATCTGGGGTTGAATCGATTTAATTAAATGCAAATTTCTAGTACCGATAGGACAACGGTTATTTTAACGGATATATAAAAAGTAATATATAAGTAATATATAAGTAAAGTCTTACTTTAGGTCGGTAGGATACACTGTTTTCTAAAAAAATCGATTTAAAATTTTTTCGTCTTTTCGTCATCAAAGTTAATTTAATAGATACCTTAGTTAATTTAATAAAAAAATTTTTTTTTAATAAATGTGGCATACAATTCGTAAAAAGTTTGGAATTTAAAGGGTTTTACAAACAAACTATTTATTACGATGGAACGAAACTAACACAAAAGAACAACTATCAAAAGTAGATAGTTACAAAAGATGGTTGATGTTAATGACCATTACTCTTTATCGCTAAATTTGTCCTTTTGCTTAGAGAAACGAAGTTATTTCTAAATTCGTTGGAAGCATTTGGTATTCTTAGCCAGAGTTGTGCACGATCTTGTATCGGAGTGGAATAAGCAAATGCTTTTATGTATCCCCAAACACAATAATCGCAAGGATTAAAATAAGGCGACCTTGCTGGCCACGTATCTGGACTGCCTACTCCAATCCAATTTTATTTGCAGTTATTATCAAACAAGTCTCGTAAATTCCTGCTACAGTAGCCAAACAGCCGTCATGTAGAAACCATAGGTTTTGTCGAATATTTAAAGGTACATCATCTAACAAATTAGGTAGAACATTTGAAGGACATTTAAAAATTTCCTGTATTCCATTTTTTGTAAATGTAACTGACGTAAAACAAAATGTATCTCAAAAAAAAATCGTAATTTTGATTTTTCTGATTTTGTAGCCATCTAGCGAATTTTCGCGAGCAAAAAAATCTCCTTGTAGCAGTGCTTGTACCCTGTAAAATGAAAAGGATATACTTTTTTGTTGTGTAAGATTTTCAGATTCAATTCTAGAGGATAAATAAACTAGTTTTTATTTTTCTAAATGGAAGCAGTCTGGAGGTATTAAAAAAAACTAATTACATAGCGCTATCTTCAAAGAGTTTCAGCTCCCTTAGCAAGCATTTTCGGACTAGGTTAAATTGGGTTTAATTGTCTTAAAATATCTGAGGAATCTCCGGTTTTCGTTTGTCAGGAGAATTTCTGGACACCCTGTATACTCGCTACAATTAAAAAATATATGATCCAAGTATACCGTTTTATTGCAAATTTCACGAAGAGTCATGTTAAGTATATTTATTTTATATAAATGGGCCGGATAGCAAGCATATACGAACTTCATCTGGGATGTGGTTGTTATGGAACTTCTCGGAGAGTTTTAATTTTCAAACCAGTAGCTTTTTCGAATGTCGGATTCTAGCAATGGGTGTCTTGCATTTTGTCAATCAGAAATTGTTTAGATCAGTTTTGATATAAATTATCCTTGGCTGTATTTATTCTTTAATCCAATTTTAATAAGGGTATAACATCTGCCAACTGTATGATTTCTTAAGCTTGCCTTGTAAACTTGTTGATTGTATGTGATGCCTGAGTATGCATGTAGATTTACCCAAACAAAAATCAATTTTTTAGTTTCTTACATCCGAGAGAGCAACGTTTTTATTTTGGCTAATTTTTCATAACAACGAAAGCTTCTGCTATGAAAATGTATGTTTTTTTACTCAATTTGACTGTGCGTTGTACTTGTAGTAGGAGCATAAAATCTGCACCTGTACCATAAGGATCTTTTGACGTATCTGTGAAAAAAGCAGTGCATATTAAGTATTTGTTTAATATCTGATCATTTAATTAATTATTAAAAATGTTAACTTAGAATATCTTGATATAATCAACCGAATATTCAACTATAAAACATCTAAGTTGACTTTAATTCTTGTGGGAGTGAAGTCTACTGTGTTTCTATATCCTTCACAATAGAATATGATCTAGTAAGATCTAGAACATTTAAGGGATCTTTGGTAAATAAGTGTTGAATTTTTTAATTTATACTTGATTATCATTTTTTCTGC